CTCCTGAGATATCGGAACACTGCTATCCTGTCTCCCCTAGTCCTTCTTTTCATCAGACTACACATATCCAGTTCTAGCCACTGTTTTCAATAGGAAATCCATATATTTTCAAGTTGCCAAGTTTGTCTGTCTCGTCTCTTGAAGTTTTTTCTGGGCAACGATCTTGATGGTTTATTCTCAATACCACCTCTGAATACCACCTCTGTTTCAACACTGCTATTCTGTTACTCATCACCCAGAGTTCCTTGTCTGAGACAGGCTGCTATAATAAATAAATAAATGCTGCCTTTTGAAAAATAAATTAAAACTCAGTGAGGAACGGAGTAGAGAAAGACAGTTGGCTGGGAATTCTGAGCCGAAGCGGTTTTCCATCACCACTTTTGTTTCAAGCCCCATTATTTCCTGCCTTTGAGAAGAGTATCAGTATTGACAATGAACCTTAAATTCTGGGAGTTCTGATATTATATTTTGCTGATGTAGAGTTTTTCTCTTCCCTCCTCTTCCCAAGGTTCCGATTTTATCAAGACGTCTACCGGAAAAGAAGCGGTGAATGCTACTTTCCCAGTGGGGCTGGTGATGGTGAGAGCTGTTAGAGACTACTACTGGAAAACTGGCTATAAGGTAACATGATAGCTCAACTGTCAGGGTTCCAAGTAATAGAACCATAGCAAGCAAAACTCCGAGACAGGTAGATTCCTCAAAGAATAGCTTTATTGGATATATCATGTTGGCACAGATTTGGTGAAAATCCAACTCTGAAGGTTCCCGCGGATTTCACTTAATTAAAAGTAAAAGATTTTTCCCTTTCCAGTGGTGGGTTGCCAATTTTTCTACTACCGGGTTGGGCACGCTCTCCTGTGCGTGTGCGCGCCGCTTCTGTGCATGCACAGAAGCGTTCGGGCCGATGGGTGGAGTCCCCCACTGCTGCTGCTACTGGTTCACCCGATCTGGGCCGAACCGGGAGCAACCCACCTCTGAAACAATCAGTCACATGGTCCAATCGAGGCACTGTCTGGTTGCCGGGTAACATCACCCCTCCTCTCTCTGACCAGGTGTGAGAATGTCCTTGGTTCCCAAGAGAAAGTATTTTGTTTTGGCTACAAAACTCCAGGCATCTCTATTCCCCCCTGTGCCCGAGGTGGCGCAGTGGTTAAATGCAGCACTGCAGGCTGCTTCAGCTGACTGCAGTTCTGCAGTTCGGCTG